ATAGGTGAGAGAAAGGAGAAGGAATATCTTCCTTCACCTCCAAGGTCTCTGGTTATTTCAAGGAGTAATAGAGGCAGAATTTAATTTGTTACTTGTCAGTCTTCTGGCAACATAGGTATCTGCTCAGGTCCTTCTAGAAAGGAATTTCTGCTGTTTGACCACGCTTTTCTATTGTGCTCATTTTGTGAGCACCCTTAGATGCTACCTCATCTTCCAAACTTTCTTTTCCTTTTGTCTGGGATAAAGTTGGGCAAGAGGGAGACAACGTTGACTTGAATTCCTGTCCATAGCTCTGGGGAATCTCACAAGAAGTCCTGAAAATAACAAGTTTTCAGCTTTGTAAAGTTTGTGTGAGGAAGAGATTTGGCCCGTAGTATCTGTCCTCTCAGCTGGCTCTCACAACACAAATAAACTGGGCAAATGCAGCTTGGGTTTTGGCATTTTAAATGGGATTTATGCTTGGATGGTGTTTGCTGCTCAATGAGTGCCTGAAAGCTCAGGGTAAACCATGTTTACGTTTGATGTGTGCTTTAAAATACCTTGCAGATGGGTCAGTTTTCTCTTCAACGTGTAGAAGAGTCCAATTCATGTTTGGACTCCATGATAAAGAATAATGTATTTTTCTAGAAAAGCTTTTTAGTTATAATACGCAAGTGAGCTTAAAACCCTGCTCGAGGCTACAAATGGTGAGTTTTCTTGTAAGAAGTAAATGTAGTTGGGTTTTCCTGTTACTTGGACTGTAGCGAGTTCGGGGCTTGGCTGCGGCCGTGTTCCCTGGAATTGCGAGAGTGACTACCAGCAGCGTGTGTGTTGGAGGTAGTTCTGTCTCTTAGTTTCTAGTCAGGTTTCTTTACTGTGAAACAACGGATGTTTTATGTACAGCCTTATACCCCTCTGCTAAATTTAGATCCTGCTTTTCAAATCTCTCCTGCAATGGCAGGGTTTGGGTATTTGAGTGCTTTGATGGCTCCTTGGTTGCAGCGATGTGGTCCAGAGCTACAGCGGACTAAAACAGGTTCTTGCCACAGCACGTCTCTTTAGCTATGCAGAAGCTAAAGTACTGGAAGTACTGGAAAGCCAAAATAAGTGTGTCTTGTTATTTGCGTAACTTTTTATTTTAAACCACAAACTATGCAAAACAGAACAGAAGTGGGGCAGAAGTAAAAGGGATTGCCTGGGAAAGATTGTCCAGGTTCTTATGTTAGTTTTAATACTCTCTTCAAAAGATCTATTATGGGCCTTTGTTGGACACAGTGATGTTATGTTAGACCTCTGATTATACGAAATACAGCAGTTCAGTGTGCTTTCGGCAAGATTTGGGTTTGGTAAGACTTGTCCTTATGCTCTAGGACTTCATCTGGAGCCTGCACCTTTGTGACTTGGCCTGTAATTTAGACCTGTGCGTGAAAGTAGCATCACCAATGAGTGTGGCTTTTGCTGGTTTGCAGCTGAATCCTGGAAGAGCGAATAATTTTTTTTTTTTTTTTTTTTCCTGGCTTCTTGAAGGAACATGCATTTGCACTCAGGCACCCTAATTTATTTTAGTACAAGCAATTGCCTGAACTGCTGTTATATATATATAGGAACATAGAAATATTGCCTGAACAGGCGTTGGACGTTGTGAAGCAGTACAAGCTAGTGAATGAAGGTCCTGGGTGGAAATTGAGACTTGGATTCTATTTCTGGCTCTTACCTGCTGTGAACTTAGGCGTGCCGTTTCCATTTTCCACCTGTTTCCTTCTCATCTTATGTCCGTCTTAACTGTTTAAATTGCCAGCTGTTTGCACCCGGGACTTGCTGCTTGTGCCACATATAGCAGAACCTCATCTTGACCGATGTGTCTGCTGCTGTGCTGATAACAAGGGGCAAACTTCACTGCTTCAGACAAGGCCGTGGGGAGAAATACAGAGCTGCATCATGTCAGTTTAAAAACCCACCAAAACTCGTACTCATCCAGCTCAGAAAGTGCAAGGTGATTTTTTTTTTTTTCTTTGAAAAGTTTTAAAACCTTTTTTCCGAAATGTATCGCACCCAGACACGTGCCTGTGCTCTGAACACAGCAAACAGCTCAAGCCTATGGCCAGGCTTTTTTGAACCGTCTGTATTTTCTCTGAACCAGGCTCATTGGTCATCTAAGAAGCACATACAGTTTTCAAGAGTAAATCCATACAGAGCTTGGAATTTAAGCTGGTTTGTAGCTATCAGTGCATAAAAATAAATATTTTTTTTTCTTTTTTTGTACTTTGATAGCTTGGAAAATGCTCAAAAGCTTCTTATCCTTAAAAAAATATATAGACTTCTCAAAACTGAGAATTGACAAACTTAAGCTTTCAGAAACATTTTTGTGCGAGGTTATATAAATATTAGAAAATAGATATGGAACGGATGGCTGAACTGGGACTGTAGAATTGCTTTTATGGCACAGAGAAAGAAGTGACTATTTGTCAAAGGCTGGATTATTTCTTTTTTTTTTTTCCAAAATGCTGAAGTTACTGAGTGCGCGCTGTGTACTTGACAAGCGGCCCTCTCTTATTTTGCAGGTGGATTTGTCAGTGTTGTGGCACAGATAATATGTGTAAAATTTTAGATTCGAATTAGTATAGTGTGGCCTGTTTATTCTCCACCCTTGCAGGCCCATCAGAGGGCTTTCAAAGCATGCACTCCTGTACTTCTGGAAGCCCGGCCCGTTCTCTGCAAGGCATTGCTGGTGACAAGTCATGACTGTAGGCAGCTTCTGCACAGGGAAGTCGTCCTCTGCTTTTCTTAACGTTGGGTGTCACCCAGTCACGTTCTGTGTCCATGAGGGACTGCCCGAATGGCTGAGATCAGGTAGACCAATGCCCTGCTCTCCTAACTAGCAGGCCAGCTGTTTCTTTACTTATTTTGTTTCTCCCTTGCTGGAGACAGGCTGCTGTTTGCCAGTTGTGCGTTCGAGCATCTCGGTGTTGCAGTACAGGTGCAGCCCGCAGGGTATGGCAACCCTGCCTAGGAAGGGTAAGGCATTGACCAAGCATGAAGACCATGCTGTGCTCTCTTCTGTAGCTGTGGCAATGATCAACAAGACTTTCCTCTGCCCTTCCATAGACAAATTCACAACCGTAGTCACTAAATCTTAGCTTCAGACATGTTTTGCCCATTACTGCTTTGTATTTCTCCTTGGGATAACAAGTTCTGTAACAGTATTTGTGGATAAAGATGTGATTCAGGTTAAAACCCTGCAGGTCAGTCAGCTGACATGTTTTACTGCTTTTCTTACAAGTTTACTACACGCTAGTCTGTACGTTTCTCTCTAAAATATAGCTGAATTTCACTTTATGTTGGTCCGAAGATGATGTGCTGCCACAGCTCCTCAGAGAACGGCAGGAGGTGGTTGCAGTCCAAGTCCTGTGTTTCTGTCAGCACTTTTTAAGAACAGAGTAAGGACTTTGCTATTTGGCAATAGCACTGCTATTTAGCAATAGCTTTGCTATTTAGCAATAGCACTGATATCTGTAGGCTTCTTCTGACACGGTTTTACTTCTCACTTTTTCTGGACAGAAGTAAAGCATAAAAGTTGCATATCACTAAAATTTAGTTGGCAAAAGTACATATGGAAGAGACCTATGTAACTCTTTGTAATAGAAATGTGTAAATATATGGATCTTAAGTTTTCTGCACCTTCTTAGTACCCCACAGAAATTGTGTTGTTACAAGATGTTAATAATGCATCTCAGTAAATTCTGTGCATTAACAGTTTCTATCAAATAACACTTTTTTCCCCTTTTTCCTCTTAATGGCTTTTGCTTCCTTTCTGAAAAAAGAAAAAGAACCCTGTCTTTTTGAGACATGCCCGAGCAAGAATGTGGAACAATCCAGGGACCATGATTCAGAATTTCTTATTTTTATTTCAGCTTCACTTTTTACTTCCTCAAATCTTGAGTGGAAAAGTTTAAAAATATCTAGAGAGGTATATAGTAACATACTGGTGTCAATTTCTGCATTAGAATTGTACTCTCCACTGTTCACTCTGAGAACAAAATATGTTTTTTGTCTAAAGCACTTGCAGGGAGTAAATAAGTTACGATCCCCTTGGAACTCTGGTGTATGAAAAGGCATATGGCAATGAATAAAGGCAATGCATGCATCCTTTTTATGCCAGAAGATCTCTTTTTCCTCCTCATCTCAACCTTTCTTGCATAGTAACATTCTGTGCGTTTCTTTTTTCATCATTTGATGTCAACATATCTTTCCCTTCAGCAGAGATACAGTCATTCTCCTTCTCTTTTTGGTACCAGCATGCACGGTGCTGTTTTTCTGTTTTCTGCGTTGTTTTGTTTTTTCAGGACTGCAGTTGTGAGAACTGAATTGAAAATTGTTCTAGTGGAGACCAGGAGAATTGTATTTCCTCAGGAGCCCAAGTGCCTTTCAATTAGTGATGCCTGGGCTCCTGTAGCTAGGCATCTGTTGGGAAAAGGTCTCTTGCTGTATGTCTTGCTTGGCATTAGGTTTCACCTGGGCTAAGGGACCTTTGGCATCTTCAGTATCTCTCGTTGTCTAATGTGGTCTGTGCTGTGTTCACAGAAGGTATAACATGGCACCTACAGTGTAACAATCTCTGGGATATGGGATTTTAGTGACTTTGAAGAATTTCTTAGAGGACAGAGACACGTTCATCTGCAAATGAAAATAGTTGTTAAGATGTTGTTTCTGTCTGTTGTTTGTCATGACTGGAGTTCTGATATTAAGTACCCAATATAGGAAATATCTAGCCTGATTCCTAGCAAGCTGAGTAATCACAAGGATAGACAGAGCAAACTACAGGTGTTTAATATCTTAGAATAACAAGTCCTAAATACTTGCAACTGTCAGAGCTGCTTTTTGAAAACATGAACTACTGGATCAATTAGTCTTTTGATACAAGCATTAACGTGTGTGCGCTTACTTGATAGGATGTTTTTTGACTTAGAGTCTAACAAAGCAGTGGGTTAATGGTTTGCACTCTCTTTTCTTATTTTCTCTAGTGCAACAGAATGGGGTACGACACAGCTCCTACTCGGCATCAAGGAAAAATCTGTATATTAACAAAAATACGAAGGTTATCTGTCAGGGTTTTACAGGCAAACAGGTATGTATATGAACTCTTTCTTCTCTTGCCCTTCCAGTTCAGAAAGTTATTTGGTCAAAACCGTAAAGACCTATAATGGAGATTATACCCTGGCTTTGCCTGCGTTGATAGGAAGCTGGACTTCATGATTGGGAAGGTCCCTTCAGCACATAGTTTTTCCTTTCTTTGGTCCAAATAGATTTATTTGTTCTTTTTCTTGAATTCAGTAGACTACTTCTTTTCAGTTGTACACAGGCTTAAAACTTGGTTTTGAGTCATCTTTATTATTTTTTTTGATTTTTGTTGTTCGTTTTGGTCTTAAGCTTTTTTCATTGTGTGCAACTGAAAGGGTTTCTTTGTAAAGGGAGTTTTGCAAAAAACTAAAAAAACCTTACCATTTTAAAAATGTCTCTTTCACAAACACCTTTAAATGTCAATGCCTATGAATTAAATTTCTGGTTTTATTTCAAGACATTTAATAATTTTCTCACATTCACTCTTTTACATGTTTGCAAGGGGAGAAGACTGCTCTTGTTAAAACTCTCAGCTAGTCATGGATGAGAATGCTAATTTCTTCTGTTTCATTATAGTGCTTGTCATCTGTTAGACTTGATGTGAAAAATGAAATGTGGCTGCTGTGTCTGCAGGTGTATTAGCAACACACAGCAAAATATCTTTTAGTGTGCAACCACAGTGCTCTGATTTAAAAGAAAAAGCATAGCATGTTCTGAATCCATTTAAAACATGGCGATGCACTTTTCAAAATAGCTGATTGCATATATGTAGTGAAAACTTCCCTTCTTATTGTAAATTTACATGCCATAAATTGCCTTCAGAATTATAGATAACATCAACTTTTTTTGGTTCATTTTATTTGCTATTACATGCCTTTTAACTTTACTTATTTCCTCTCTCGTAGGGCACCTTCCACAGCCAGCAGGCATTGGACTATGGCACCAATCTAGTTGGAGGAATTTCTCCAGGGAAAGGGGGAAAAACTCATCTGGGTCTGCCTGTGTTTAATTCTGTGAAGGAGGTAATTTGCAGCAATGACTGGAGGGCAGACAATTTAATGCTGTTTAAGGGCTCCCTATTTCATTGCTCATATGAGCCCTGGATGTCACTGTGCAAAGAGTGAAATAGAAGCCTTGTAAAAGGAGGAGCATTCAGTGTGATCAGGCATGAGTTTGACTTCCACTGGGAAGTTCACACAGTCTGGATACTCTTCCTTTACGCATGCAACTATTTTCTGATTGATTGTGCTGTGTATGATGAATTTTTAGCAAACCGTTATCAAAGGGTACTTGTGATGGTGTTCATGAGGCAAATCCTTTCCTGACAGTGGTTAGTTCCGAGCTCCCTACTTGTGCTGTATGTGTCCCATCTTCAGTGAATTTAACACTTGCTTTGATTATAGTAAATTAATACATATCCATTCACTTATTTTATGCCTGTGAATGCACATACTTTAAAAGATTAGTTGTCAAATGTTCTCTTCCACTCCACTAAATGCTTGATATCTTCTTTTATGTCTGTTGTAGGCCAAAGAACAAACCGGTGCTTCTGCCACTGTTATATATGTACCTCCTCCGTTTGCTGCTGCTGCGATCAATGAAGCAATCGATGCAGAAATGCCCTTAGTTGTATGCATAACTGAAGGTATTCCCCAGCAGGACATGGTTCGGGTTAAACACAGACTGCTTCGGCAGGATAAGACTCGACTAGTGGGTCCCAACTGCCCTGGAGTCATCAATGTAAGTGACTTCTGCATTTGCTCCAAGGCTGAACCATTCTTAGTGATGGTTTGAATGTTCCATCTGACTTTTCCCACT